AAACCAGTGACTAATTTGCATAAGGAAAATTAATCGTCAAATATGTCTTGTCTTTAAAGGAGAGGGAAAAAGTGAAATAAATTGAGGAGCTTCTTTGCTTTTTCCTAGGGCTACAAATGGTTTAAACCTGGAAAAGTTTATGACGTTAATCAGTCATTCAAGTAGAAGGGAACTTATTTTTTCTGGTAGTCTAATACTTTGGATTCTCCTTTGTTATGTACCAACTAGATTTGCTGCTTATATTATTTCTTCTCAAATCCCTCTGTAGATTTTCTTCTATCATTTTTTTCTCAGATCCCTCTGGCTCTACCCTCCCTATTCTGCTTCTTACCCTTCTACTTCCCCAATACAAACCCTCTGCATTCTGGTCAGTCTCTCTCTTCCTTGTCTTCGAACCAATCCTAATTTCCACCATCTTGTCTACTGTTGAGAAAAGTTATTCTTCTGTCAAGTGGACTGTTCCTTATTCTGGAGTAATTTATCATTCTTTTCCTATTATTCCAAAGTTTATAGTTTTTCAAAGGCCGAGTTCTATATTTTATGCAACTTTTCTAGGTTGCTGTAATTTTCAATTGATTTCTCTGATCTTTGACTTTATTTCATTTGAAATTTTGTGTCTCTTGCTGTCTGATTGTTTTGCATGTTTTTGATCTCTCTCTGACTAGTTAATGAGCCTTAGAGTGAGGACCTTATCTTACACTTGTGTACTCTCTACAAGGAATGTAGTATACTGCTGGATATATGTCTATATGTCAGGCATTGAAAACTTTTTTGTCCACACCTAACCCCCCCCCCACTTCCCTTATTCCCCTCCCCTTTTTTTTTTTAATATTCCCTAGATTTACCTGGTTATAGATAATTCTTCCAGTGGTATTTAGCCTCAAAATTTCTATTGATTTAACATTTAAAATTTATACTTTGTTGGGGAAAAATTTGCTTCATACTACATTTTGAAATAATGGACATGTTTTAAAATCTAGATTTCATATCTACATGACAATTTAAATGATAGCTTCCATACGCACACAAAAACCTAAAATTAATAAGAAGACAAACTGACAAAAATATTTTACAATGTATATCATAAAGATCTGATTTCCTTAGTTTACAAAGAACTTGTATAAGCCAATAAAAATAAAAATTAGTGAGCCAGCCCTGATGGCCTAGTGGTTAAAGTTCAGTGCTAACTGCTTTGGCAGCCCAGGTTTGCTTCCTGGTCATGGAACCACACCAGACCACTGTCTGTCGGCTGCCATGCTGTGGCGGCGGCTTACAGAGAAGAACTAGAATGACTACAGCTAGAATATACAACTATGTACTGGGACTTTGGGGGTGCTGGGGGGAAGAGAAAGATTGGCAACAGATGTTAGCTCAGGGCAAACATTTCCCTGCAAAAGAAAAGAAGAATAAAAATTAGTAATACAATGGAAAATATGGACTGGGGGCCGGCCCCGTCGTGTAGCGAGCGGTTAAGTGTGTGCGCTCCGCGGCTGGCAGCCGGGGTTTGGATCCCGGGCGCGCAACGATGCACCGCTTGTCAGGCTGTGCTGTGGCGGTGTCCCATATAAAGTAGAGGAACATGGGCACAGATGTTAGCCCAGGGCCAGTTGTCTTCAGCAAAGAAAGAGGAGGATTGTCATGGATGTTAGCTCAGGGCTGATCTTCCTCACAAAAAAAAAAAAAGAAAGAAAGAAAACTTGGAAAAATATATGAGAAGGCATTTAAGGAAAAAAGAGAAATAGAAATTCAACCCCCTCATAGTTAAAGAAATGCAAATCAAAATGAGGTACTACTTTTTTTTTTTTAGTCAGATGAGCAAGAATTAATTATGTATTTCATGATATGTAGTGCTGATGGGGAGGTAGGGAAACGGACATTCTCATGCACTGTTAGTGGGTTAATCAGTTAGTAATGCATTTGTCTACAAGTAATCGAAAACCTTACTATTGGTAGTGAAGCAGGGATTTATTTTCTCTCACAGTATGAAGCCAGCATTGTGTTATTAGCAGCTGGATGATGTCAGGACTGGCATTTCTTAATTTTCCTGGCCAAGTCCTTGGTAACTGCTTCATGGACTTAGGTTGTTTCAGATAAGTTCACATTCAAGGCAAGAAGAAAATAGTAGAATGTGCACTATTTATGACTGTCCTTTTTTGTCAGAAAAGCAAAATCTTTCCCAGAACTCTGCAGCAGATGTCCTTTTCAGTGCCGTGATCTCTTACATGGGGTTAGGTATATTGCTGCACTGAATAAAATCAGTGTTTCATCAGGAAGATGGTGAGAAGAGGGGATATTGGATAGGCAACTAAAAGTGTCTTGCCAAATGGCTAGTGCAACTTTTCCAGAGATAGATTGTCAGTATCTTCCCAAATTTAATATACGTGTGTTCTTTGATTCAGCAGTTCTGTTGTTAAGAATTTACCCATGAATAAGTTTCTGTTCCTCTGAATTATTTAGAGAACTTGGTAGAAAGCACAACTTTCTGGGCCCAAGCGTAGACCTCAGAATCATTGGAGTTGGGGCCAAGGAATCTGTATTGGAGTAAATGGTTTGCTAGGTGACTACATACTGTGTGGAGCTAGGTTTGAGAATTTCTGTATAGATGATAGTGAAACCCAGATTTTTAAAGTTGGCATAAAATTGCAAAAGAAAAAAAAAAACAAAAGTAGCTGGCCAACCATTGGCATGCTGTATCTGGCTTTTCTTAAAACAAAACAAAACAAAAAACAGCTTCCTTTTTCCCTTCACTTCAGTTAAATAATTGCAGATAAGCCAAAAGAAGAAAGCATCATCCCAGTTATGTAGGGAGAACAACTGTTAACACCAACCAACATTTTTATTGTATTTTATTTGGTATAAATCCTTACAGATTTGTGTGCTGCATATATATAGTATATATATATATAGTGGACATCTTTCTATATCAACACAGATACATGTATTTCTTTTTTAATTATTGTTTATTATTCCATTGTATAAATATGCCATTTACTAAAGAAGCCCTCTTAATACTCCCCTCTCTTTTTGCTGTAATACAGTGTTGTAGTGAATGCTCTTTTTTATTTATTTATTTATTTATTTATTTATTTTTTTCCCTCCAAAGCCCCAGTAGATTGTTGTACGTCATAGTTGCACATCCTTCTAGTTGCTGTATGTGGGACGCGGCCTCAGCATGGCCGGAGAAGCAGTGCGTCGGTGCGCGCCCGGGATCCGAACCCAGGCCGCCAGCAGCGGAGCGTGCGCACTTAACCGCTAAGCCACGGGGCCGGCCCGTGAATGCTCTTAAACAAATAAATATTTTAGTCTGATTATTTCCATAACATAAAATATGTACACTTGCCATTTGGTACATTTTGCTTGACTGTCCTCCAGAAAGATATCTTTTTACTTGTTGCCAGTTTGATATCTTAATGTTTTAATTAACATCTTTTTAGTAAAGATAGGATTCTTTCATGTTTGTTCGTCACTTGCGTTTCTTTCTTTGAATTACTGTCTTCAAAGCCTTAATCATCTTTTTAATTACATTATCCTATATTAAGTAAATGTGCATTCTGAGTGTATGTTAAGAGTCGATCAATTTTATGGTCTATTTAGTTTTGAGAATAATACCTCACTTAGAAAAAAAGACATACCCTATAATTTAATGATTGTTTCTGTTTAAACTGTTAGTGAAAGAGATGAAGCCAACTATGAGAATATCCTGTGGTACTACTTTATAGGATAAGACAATAGTCCCTTATTTTATGGCCTTAACAGTGAGATGACTTAAATTTTTTTTTTTTTTTTTTTTTTTTTTTGGTGAGGAAAATTAGCCCTGAGCTAACGTCCATTGCCAATCTTCCTCTTTTTGCTGAGGAAGATTGGCCCTGGGCTAACATCCGTGCCCACCTTCCTCTACTTTGTGGACGTCTGCCACCGCATGGCTTGGTAAGTGGTGCGTAGGTCCGTGCCCAGGATCCGAACCTGCCAACCCCAGGCAGCTGAAGCAGAGTGCGTGAACTTAACCACTGTGCCACCGGGCTGGCCCCAAGATGACTTAATTTAAAAGATTTTATGCAGGGGCCGGCCCGGTGGCGCAAGCGGTTGGGTGCGCGCGCTCTGCTGCGACGGCCCGGGGTTCGCTGGTTCGGATCCCGGGCGTGCACCGACGCACTGCTTTGGCAAGCCATGCTGTGGCGGCGTCCCATATAAAGTGGAGGAGGATGGGCACGGATGTTAGCCCAGGGCCGTCTTCCTCGGCAAAAAAAGAGGAGGATTGGCTGATGTTAGCACAGGGCTGATCTCCTCACAAAAAAAAAAAAAAAAAAAGATTTTATGCAGTTACTGTCCAGATGGTAAACCTTTCATAAATAAATTTTTAATAACATTCACTTTAAAAATCACTCTTTAATTTTCTAAAACCTTAATTTATATCTTCTATAATGAGCTTAGTTGCTGGGATTTAAAATTTATTATAGATATATACATATATATCAACAGTGTATAGCCTTTCCTTTGCTAAAACTATTTTCTGAGCTAAGTGATGAACTTCCCTCTGAAACATTTATTTCCATGACCAGAATTCGTTTTGTTTGTTTTACGTTTAGCCTCCAGAACAGATATCAGAGATACTGCTGTTTTCCAGGGTTGTTAACAAGATAGAATTTAGACACTGAATTTTAGATTCTTAGCTAGCCAGGAAGCATTGAATTCTAGATATGACCTCTTCTTTAGGGAGCAGGCATGCTACTCACTTGTTTCATGGATGAAGGAACTAAATCCATAGTTATTTAGTTTTTACTCAAATACCCAACAATAAAATGACAGATTTTTGGAGAATTTATAAGTTACAGAATTTCATTTATAATATAGAAACTAATTAACCTTCTAATTATGACTTATAGGAGAGATCAAGAATCAAATTAATACATTCCTCTAATAGCTAACTAGGGCTTTTAAAAGGTGGTATTGATGCCAAATAAACATTTGGAAGATGTTTTTCTTTATTTCTGTTTCCGCAGATCATTAACTGAAGACAGAATCAACAGCTATGCAGAATTCTCATATGGATGAGTACAGAAATCCGAGTAATGGCAGCACAGGCAGCAGTTCAGAGGTAGTGGTAGAACAGTCTGCTGATTTCAGTACTGAGATTATGAATGTTACGGAAATGGAACAGTCACCTGATGGATCTCCTAATGTGAACGCAACCACAGAAGAAAATGAAATAGCAAATGCAGTGGACCTTCCATTGACAGAAACGGAAGCAAATTTCCCTCCAGAATATGAAAAATTTTGGAAAACTGTAGAAAATAATCCTCAGGATTTTACAGGCTGGGTATATTTGCTTCAGTATGTAGAACAGGAGGTTAGTAACTATTTAAATGGGATTGGAAGGGACAGATTAATCAAGTAATATGGGACTAGGCCTTATTGTTTTGTAATTAAAGTTGCCTCTTTTTTATAGTTTTTAGATTAAGTTGAATAACATTAGATATATACATTTTTTTAGTTTTTAGCTTAAAAAATAACTTTCATAGCATTTGTACAGTATTAGTAGAGTCAGAGTCTAATGTTTATAATAGTTGGTTTGTGTAAAATTACTGAAATAAAAAAGTTACCTTGCTACTTGCCAGAATTAGTTCCTTCTGTTTCAAAAGATAAGACTGCATTTGCAGAAAAAAGGGCTGGTGCGCGTGTGGTTTTTAAGCCTTCCATTTATTTGATTTGAGATGATACATTTGAAAGGAATAATAAATATTTTTGTGACAAAAACTTTCACGATATTAAAACAGCTTGTTTTATTTTCATCAGAATCACTTGATGGCTGCCAGGAAAGCATTTGACAAATTTTTCATACACTATCCGTATTGCTATGGTTACTGGAAAAAGTATGCAGACCTTGAAAAGCGACATGACAACATTAAACAATCAGATGAGGTGCGTACATCACTGAATAAAGTTATCTCTATTAGGTACTGTAAGCCAAATAATAGCAAAAGGAAGACTTTTTCTTTTTGGCTGGCAGTACCTACGATTTATGGTCAAACAATTTTATAGGGTATTTTATTTGCATTTGTCACTCTTGTGGCATTTGTAGCTAATATTTTCTCTCTTTGTTGGCAGGTGCGTTAAACCTCTACAGTTTGTCAAGCTTTGCAGTGCAAGCCTCTGTATTACACTGCAGCTTAACAAGTAGGGCAGGGCTTTTCTCTCACTTACATTTATTTCTCATTTTCCAAACAATATAGTTGGTTTGCTAGTCACATTTGCTACGTCTTATTGCATTTTTGGTCAGACGCTGTCATTGATGCTCTAATGGGTCTGTGCCCTATGGTCTGTAACCCAAAGCCTGCCCACACAACCCGGTCAGAATGCAGGGACTGCTGCGCTTTGAAGATCAAGACTCTGCACGTGGGGATCAGAACATTGCCATGTTCTATCCAACCTCCACCCAAATGGTAATGGTAGATTATTTAAACAAAATTCCAGTAATTAGTATTTCTAAGGTTCACCGGATAACACAGTGTTGCCTCTCTGTTAAGAAATAATTAAATATTTGAAGTACAGTTTGTTGTTTTCTTCTTAGGTGTATCGGCGGGGGCTTCAGGCAATACCTCTTAGTGTTGACCTCTGGATACATTATATAAACTTCTTAAAGGAAACATTGGACCCTGGTGATCCTGAGACAAACAGTACAATAAGAGGGTATGTGAAAGGTTGATACTCACATGTATTTACGTATGTATGTATGTATGTAAGATCAGCCCTGAGCTAACATGCGATGCCAATCCTCCTCTTTTTTGCCAAGGAAGACCATCTCTGGGCTAACATCCGTGCCCATCTTCCTCTACTTTATATGGGACACTGCCACAGCATGGCTTGACGAGCCGTGCGTCGGTGCGCGCCTGGGATCTGAACCTGCAAACTCCGGGCCACCGAAGCAGAGCGCACGCACTTAACCGCCGCACCACCGGGCCGGTCCCCTCACGTGTATTTAAAGATCTAAATAAGTCGGGTATTCTGATGTTAATAATAGAACTACTCATGAAGGCTAAACTGGAAGTTTAACTTCTATATATTTCTTTGTCACTCTGTTAAAAAAAGATACATGTAATAAACTTACGCATTATTATAAAAAATGCAGATAATAAAGTCCTCCTCCATTCTACACCCCCTTTCCTTGTGTCCCCAATCCCACTCCCCTCTTGGTTAATAGCTTGGTATGTGTTCTTGCAGATACACGTAGATGTACATTTGTGTGTGTATATTATACATATTTTTCTTTGATTTTTTTCTTTATTGAGCAATGTTTTGGACTCTCTCCCTACCATATTTATTTAACTGTTGCAAAAGTATTTTATAGTATCAAGGTACTATGTTTTATTTGACCAAATCCTTAGTTATAGGAAGCAATCAGTGCTGCAGTGAGCATCTCTGTACAAGTCAGTATTTATGTAGAGCACGCTAGAAATGGAACTTCTGTCAAAGGGCATATGCAGATCAGTTTTATCAAATGTTCCTTCAAAAGTGGTATCAATTTTAAACTCCCACAAACAGTATATAAGAGAAGTCATTTTCCCATAGCCCATGCCACATTTTTCTTTTACCTCCAGTGGTATCTCATTTTAGTTTGCATATCTCTGTATTGCTCATCCTGGTTTACCATCTTTTCATAATGCTTATATAAGCCATTTTTGCATTGCCTGTTCGTATCATTTGCTCATTTTTCTTTGGGTTTGCCTTTTTCTTATTAGGAATTTTTCATGTGTTTTTGGTTTTTATTTTTATCAAAGTATGTGCATATAATTTAAGAAATCAGTTAGTGTTAGATTGTTTGTAACAAAAAGGAGTTCCTCCACCCCTCTTCAAATATTTTAGTGGTTTCTTCTGGTATTTTCTAATATGTTTGTAACTGTAGCGCTCTCTCTCTCTTCATTAGCTGAAGACATTATGATTCTGTTACAGTAGATGAGAATTTTAGTTTATTTACACCCTGTCTCCCCATTCCTCATCTTTCCAATATAGCTACAGGATAGCTTTCATAGCCTTTTGTTTTTCCTGGAGTTAATTACCCCCTCCTCCCCCTTTTCCCATTTGCCTAGTTTTCTTTGAATATTTAAAATTTTATACCCTGTCCAACATCTACTTTCAGTCATCGGTACTAGTACTAACTGTCCACAATGTACAAATGCTATGTAGGTTATTTTTGAAGCTTAAAAAAGTGTATATATATGGGGCCGTCCCAGTGGCGTAGTGGTTAAGTTCATGTGCTCCTCTTCAGCGGCCTGGGATTTGCAGGTTTGGATCCTGGAGGTGGACCTACACACCGCTCATCAAACCATGCTGTGGCGGTGTCCCTATACAAAATAGAGGAAGATTTGCACAGATGTTAGCTCAGGGCTAATCTTCCTCGCCAAAAAAAAAAATGTATATATCTAATGTTATTCTACTTAATCTGAAAATTATAAAAGAAAATTATGCTCTGAAATCTGTAAATTCCATTTTTTGCCCTCCCTCTTGGAAATATACCTCCTGGAACCTTCTCTTGTGTAATCTAGACTGGTTGCTCTGTTTTTTTTCCTGCTGTACAGCAATTGTTTTGGGATTTCCTTATCTTCATGATTCTAGGTGCTGTCTTTTACAAAACTCTTTCCTGAGTTTCAAGTTCTATTTATTAGAGTTTATTAGATCCTACTCTTTTTTGGTTCATGCCGACGTTTTAGAGGAATTCATCCTATGACTTCCTGATAAGGGATGCTTGGAATGAAAAAGATTTTAAGACTTTGTATGTCTGAAACACCCAATGGGTGGTCTGGTGGGGTAGAAAATTTTGAGTTGAAAGTAATTTTTCTTCAGGGCTTTGAAGGCATCTCTTCCTTCTCTTACAGCTTCTGGTGTTTACCATTCTTCTGGATTCTCTTTATATGACTTGTTTTTCCTCATGGAATCTTTTAAAATATTCTCTTTATCTTTGATGTAAATGCACTTTTATAATGACATGCTTTGTTGTGTGTTTTCTTTTTCTAATTCATTATGCCTACTTTCTGGGCCTCTTCAGTCTGGGATGCTCACATCCTTCTACTCTTAGAAATGTTATTACTGGGGCCTGCCCAGTGGTGCAAGTGGTTAAGTGCACGTGCTCCGCTGTGGCAGCCTGGGGTTCGCCGGTTCGGATCCCGGGTGCGCACCAACGCACTGCTTGGCAAGCCATGCTGTGGTGGTGTCCCATATAAAGAGGAGGAAGATGGACACGGATGTTAGCCCAGAGCCAGTCTTCCTCAGCGGAAAAAGAGGAGGATTGGCAGATGTTAGCACAGGGCTGATCTTCCTCAAAAAAAAAAATAAATAAATAAAAAAGAAATGTTATTACTGTGTATATTATTATTTTGATAATTTCCTTCCCTTGGTTTTATCTGTTGTTTTTGATAGTTGAATATTGGACCTCCTGTTTTAATCATTTAATTTTTTTCTCCCCATTTTTCATCTCTTAGACTTCATTTAACTTTTTGAGTCAACTTCCTTGACCCTTGTATTGGATTTTTAGTATCTGCCATCAGATTTTTAATATCCAAGAATCTTTCTTGTTCTTTGAATGTTCCTTTTCTCGTAGCCTCCTATTCTTATGTATCTTTTTATTATTTCTTTGAGGGTATTAAGGATAGCTGAAGTTTTTCTCTGCTCCTAGCACTGTCTGTTTCCTCTCTGGTTTTTTTTGTTTACTTGTTTTCATCTCAGACATGTCTGATCTCTGGATTTCTTCTCATGTTAAAGGTCAGATATTAATAAACTGAGTGGAAGCTCTGTGTGTTTTGTATGGGGCATTGTTAGTTGGCCTGGAGTGCTTCACAGTAGGGTCATCAGGTGGCTACTCAGGTTTTTGTTGGGGGACTCTTAGTATTGGTATCCTGATGTCTTATTCCTGTGTCAAGCAGTTTCTTCGGAGAAGATCATCTACTCTGCCTCAGGAATATAAACCTGGCTTCTGAAATCCCATATCTGGGCAGGAAAAGTTCTCTTCCCATTCATTAAGCAGACCTTCTAGTAAACATTCTGTCTTTAGTTCATCACCTTCTTACCATCCTTCCTCTCCGATGTGCCCCCACTTTTCTTAGTGTCTGGTGCATAAATTTCCTGAGTCATTTTGGGATTCTGCTGGGGCAATAACATGTATTTCACTCTTGAAAACCTTACACACAAACGTACACGTGTGCGTGTACACATACACACACTCTTAATCCTTTACATATTAAACAAATTTCCTCCAATTTTGGCACATCTTTTAACTTTGCTTAGGGTGTCATTTTATAATATAGAGGGTTTTTTTCCTTAATGTGGTTCAATTTTCAGTCTTTTATTGGTTTCTGAGTTTTGTGCCCATCTTGCCAAGAATATATAAACCTTGTATTTTCTTTTAAATTTTTTTTTTTTTTAAAGATTTTATTTATTTATTTTTCCCCCAAAGCCCCAGTAGATAGTTGCATGTCGTAGTTGCACATCCATTCCAGTTGCTGCATGTGGGACGCGGCCCCAGCATGGCCGGAGAAGCGGTGCGTTGGTGCTCGCCGGGGATCCGAACCCAGGCCGCCAGCAGCGGAGCGAGCGCACTTAACCGCCAAGCCACGGGGCCGGCCCCTCTTTTGATTTTTTTATAGTTATTTTTGTCATTCATTCATGTGGCATTTAATTTGTATATTTTGTGAGATAGAGATTAACCTTTTATTTTTTTCCTTTTATTGAATAGTCCAGCTTTTCTTTTTTTTTTTATTTTTTTTATTTTTTTTTTTAAAGATTTTATTTATTCAGTTTTTTCCCCCTAAAGCCCCAGTAGATAGTTGTATGTCATAGGTTCACATCCTTCTAGTTGCTGTACGTGGGACTCGGCCTCACGTTGGACGGAGAAGTGGTGCCTCGGGGCGCTCCCGGGATCCGAACCCGGGCCGCCAGCATCAGAGCGCGCGCACTTAACCGCTAAGCCACGGAGCCGGCCCAGTCCAGCTTTTCTATGTTAATTTAAAACACCTTCTTTATCATGTACTAATTCTTACATATACATTGATCTTTTGTTTTCTTGGGAACTGTTCTTTTGATCCATTTTTCTGTTACCAGGCCAGTGCCATAAATGACTACAGCTTCCTAGTTAGTTTCTTTTGATATCTTTCAGGAAAATGCCTACTGCCTTGGCCTTTTACAAAAATATTGTATTGTGCATTTTTGTATGCTAGATGAATGTTAGAATTTGTTTTTCCTGTTCCACCCAAAATTTGTTAGAGCCTTGATTGGGATTGTGTTCAAGTCGTAGATTAATTTAGGTAGTGTAGGTTTTTTTTTTTTTTTTTAGAGAAAGATTTTTTTTGAGGAGGATTGGCCCTGAGCTATCATCTGTTGCCAATGTTCCTCCTTTTTTCCTTTTTCTTCCCAAAGCCCCAGTAGATAGCTGTATGTCATAGTTGTACATCCTTCTAGTTGCTCTATGTGGGACGCCGCCTCAGCATGGCTTGATGAGTGGTGCGTATGTCTGTGCCCAGGATCCAAACCAGTGAACCCCGGGCTGCCGAAATGGAGTGCCCAAACTTAACCACTGTGCCACTGGGCAGCCCCTGGGTAGTGTAGTTTTACACTGTTAAAGACCCCTCTTGATTCTAAGATACTTATTTTGAAAATATGTATCTAACAGTTTTATCCCATTAGGATATCAACTCCAGTGTTTAAAATTGCTTACACAAATCTCGAGATGAGCTAGGTTTTTTATTTTTTATTTACTTTTTTCTTTTAAAGATTTTATTTATTTATTTATTTTCCCCCCAAAGCCCCAGTAGATAGTTGTATGTCACAGGTGCACATCCTTCTAGTTGCTGTATGTGGGACGCGGCCTCAGCATGGCCAGAGAAGCGGTGCCTCGGTGCGCGCCCGGGATCCGAACCCAGGCCGCCAGCAGCGGAGCGCGCGTACTTAACCGCTAAGCCACGGGGCCGGCCGTAGGTTTTTTAAAGTACACATTTTTGTAGTAAACTGTAGTTGTGAAATTTTAGAATCAGAGACTTCTGAGAGTTTCAAAATATGTGTATGCTTCTCATTACCTTACAAGTCAGCTGGATCCCCGGATGGAGAGTTATTTTTGCCAATCTTAGATTGACATAAAATGTGTCTCTTTGTCTTCTGCCCTAAATGAATCTATCTATTCAACTGACATTTCAGATTTAACAAATATGTGTCTACTACATGTTTGCCACGTGTAGGTTTTGCATTGTAATTTTATATAAGATAAAATTACATAGAAGTACACTGATCTGTTCCCTTTATGTTTTCTCACTTTTTTTAAGCAGCTTTGTATACTTTTCTATTATTCCTTCTGCCTTTTAATCTCTACTTGTATAGGAAGCAGTTGAATATAATTTTGAATTTAGCATTATCTTGTACAATTTAGAAGTAACATTTTAAAAGTGATTTTATCTTGGAAAGATAACTTAGGACTCATTTAATTTTTCAGAACTTTTGAGCATGCTGTTCTAGCTGCAGGAACAGATTTCCGATCTGACAGACTGTGGGAGATGTATATAAATTGGGAAAATGAACAGGGAAACCTGAGAGAAGTTACAGCTATATATGATCGTATTCTCGGTATTCCAACACAGCTGTATAGTCATCATTTTCAGAGGTAGGTGGAAAAATCAGATCATTAAAACATCTTGGATTACTCAGGTAATTAATTCCTAATATTTTTTTTTTTTTTTAAAGATTTTATTTATTTTATTTTTTCCCCCCAAAGCCCCAGTGGATAGTTGTGTGTCGCAGCTGCACATCCTTCCAGCTGCTGCACGTGGGACTCGGCCCCAGGATGAACAGAGAAGCGGCGCCTCGATGCGCACCCGGGATCCGAACCCGGGCCGCCAGCATCGCAGTGCGCGCACTTAACCACCAAGCCACAGGGCCGGCCCTAATTCCTAATATTAATGTAAGATTCTATTAGATGCAAACAGGAATAAATTTTCTTGCCCAGTAATCAACAATTATTGCACTTTTTAATTTTGACGTTTTTCCGTGTATCTTACATAATGTTTAGGAATTTTACTATTTTTAGACAGAAGGTTCTCCCTGATCATTTTCTAGATGAGGAAACAACAGGAATCCTGTCTTTTTTGTCTAAGGTATTTCAGAGTAGTGAAGGAATAAGAAATAGAATCAAAGTTTAATTATTCTTTGTGGTACTAAATTGACACAGTACTTGGCACATAATAGATGCTTAAAATTTAATGATTTACTAAAGGTTCATTCTTGTGATTCCTATAACACCTTATATCCAAAACAGCGAAGTATGTGTTTTATATGGTAAGTGCTGTCTGTATTCAAACAATCAGAAATCATTTCATTTTAATTTTCCACTATGATTTTCTGTTATGATTGGTATCGTTTCATTTTAATGAGTACTGTTAAAACAGCTGACTCTGTGTACCATGATTTCCATGTTCTGTTTTCTGATGTAATCAAAGTATCCCGCTGATACAGACTCAGAAAGTCTTTCTGAACAGCAAAATGTGAGGACTGTGTTGATAAATATGTGCTCTTTTTAACTGCCATGTTTTCTATATTTTTGTCATAATTTTTATAAGTAGTATTGTGTTAGAGCTTGTAAACTTAGGTACTTTTTAAGTTAAGCAAGTGATTTTCTAAATTTTTCTTTGCTAAAAAAGTAGAAGACTTTAGGAAGCATCTGATTATTAGTGGGATCAGTTTGCTAAAGATAGGGGAAGTTATGCAGACCCAGGTTAGAAATAGGAAGCATGCAGATTTGAATGTATGGTCCCTATTTTTTATAGAACAGAGGAGCTGGGCAGGTGTCTAGGGTATAACCATCTAGGGAGGCACTCGCTGAAAGACATTATTAGCACAAGGCGTGGCATATGGAAATACTTGGTGAATATTTGTTGAAAGGTTTTAAAAAGCCTCATAGGTCTTGGGGCCGGCCCGGTGGCGTAGTGGTTAAGTTTGCGTGCTCCTCTTGGGCAGCACAGGGTTTGCGGGTTCGGATTCTGGGCACGGACCTATGCACCACCCATCAAGCCATGCTGAGGTTATGTCCCACATAGAGCAACTAGAAGGATGTACGACTATGACCTGTAACTATCTACTGGAGTTTTGGGGAGAAAAAAGGAAAAAAGGAGGAAAATTGGCAACAGATGTTAGCTCAGGGCCAACCTTCCTCAAGAAAAAAAAAAAAACCTCATGGGACAGAGGGTACCTTTTCATAAACCAGTTCTTCTAGGATCTAAAGTATAGATGAAATCTTTGATTATAAGACATTCACTGTTGGTAAGAAAAATAATACCATTAGGAAACACTTATATAGCATTTGCCATACGCCAGACACTGTTCTGAGTGCCTTATAACTCATTTAATGCTCACAATAAGCCAGTGAGGTGGAGGTACTATTATTACCCCCATTTGATGGAAGTGGAGGCACAAAACGATTAAAGTACTTGCATCAGGTGACAGAGTTAGGAAGTAATAGGAAGCTGGTTGGAACCTAGACAGTGTGGCCGCAAAGTTCTTGGTACAGTCTCCTCCAAGTCTTTTTTTTTTTTTTTTTAATGAATATCCCACTAGGCTTTTAAAATTGCATATATGCTTCTAATAGAAATTAGTGGATTGCATTACACATAGTGCTCTATAATCTACTCTTTTTCACTTACTGTATTGAGAACCACTTTCCTTATAAGTATATAACAAACTCACAAGTAGTGTTTGTGTAAATAAATCTTATAGTTTATATAAATAAACTAGTTCAAATGACTAACTGCTTTGAGAACCACTGAAAGGTTTTCTGTTGTCTTAATACGCTCTCCCTACTTAAAGTCATTTATTTAGCATTTGCTGTAGACCAAATGATATGCCCTTTAAGTTGTAGGAATAAAGGCCCAAAGAAGCTATGTGTGAATGGTCTTGGCCCTCAGGTTGCTCAAAAGTGTAGGAGAGGAAGCATGTGTTAAAAAAAAAAGTATTCTAAGTGCTATAATGGAAATGTTTCTGTTGTGTAGGCTTGTATACTGGATATACACTGAACATTATCTCTAAGAAAATGTCTAATTTATTTATTTATTTGTGAGGAAGATCAGCCCTGACCTAACATCCATGCTAATCTTCCTCTTTTTGCTGAGGAAGACCAGCTCTGAGCTAACATCTATTGCCAATCCTCCTCCTTCCCCTCCCCCCACCAAAGCCCCAGTAGATAGTTGTATGTCATAGTTGCACATCCTTCTAGTTGCTGTATGTGGGACACGGCCTCAGCATGGCTGGAGAAGCGGTGCGTCGGTGCGCGCCCGGGATCCGAACCCGGGCCGCCAGTAGCAGAGCGTGCGCACTTAACTGCTAAGCCACGGGGTCGGCCCAGAAAATGTCTAATTTAAAATCCTCCTTAGCATGAGGACTTAGTGTTGTGATCCAGCTTCTCAGGCCTAGTCCCTGGTAGTTCCTAAGCTCTAGACACCTCAGTACTGACAGTTTCCCAAAGGGCAGTGTTGTTTTATACATTTAAGACTGTAATACCTTTCCCATTTCCCATTTGTGTGGTGAACTCATATTCTTCAAGACCATACAGCGTAATGTCCAGTTCACCTAAATAGAAGTATCTGTTCTGTCATTTTTGCCAGCACTCTACCTACATTTATTTACATTTACCTTAGCATTAATAACACCACTTTGAATTTATGTCTCCTATATCCTCTACGCATCTTTCAGTTTCTGAGTCTTATTCTTTTTATCCTTAATACCTAGGAATAGGGCTCAGTATATATTAGATACTCAGCCATTCTTTTTTTTTTTTCTTTGAGCTAACATCTGTTGCCAGTCTTCCTTTATTTTGTATGTGAGCCGCTGTCACAACATGGCCACTGATAGATGAGTAGTGTAGGTCTGCACCCAGCAACCTCACCCAGGCCGCCGAAGTGGAGCATGCCGAACTTAACCACTAGGCCACCAGGGCTGGCTCCTCAGCCATTCTTTATTGAAAAAGTTAGCTTTATAGTAGAAAAAGCTGATGAAAAATTACTGCTTAGTATTATGCATATTTTATCACCATTTGAAAGATGTTTTTTTATAATACAGCAATTAGTTTAAATTTATGCTCTGTAAGTTATTTTTCAATTTTAGCGTATTTCAGTTTTCTTGTGTGTATCCTGACAACAATTTTGAGCTTTAATATTGATCTGAGTATTAAATATGTTCATTTTTATACTGCACATTTGAGAATTACTTCATTTTAAATTTTTTTTTTTTTAATCAGGCAATCTATATTTTTTCCTCCCTATGATGAAATGGGTCAAGGTAGCCTCTGTATCCATTAATTTTTTTTTTTTTTTTTTTTGGTG